TACATTGAGGCAGATCTCTGGAGCAGGAATGTGAGGCGAAATCTCCATTTTTCCTCGTTAAAAATCAAAATCCCATCATTATTTTTTACTATATATATAATGTGTTGATCTCGAGTTATTGCACCAGTGTAGCTAAATGATGATTTCCATGGTTGTTAAATAATAGTGTTCTTGTTGTGTTATTGACATGGATTATCTGCTCTGATTTTAATTTTTAGAAAACACTCATGGAGTGGAAAAAGAAATTTTGCCAATATAAAAATGTTAGTCTGATAAGAGCATGGGAAGCTAATTGCTTTTGTGCGGTGTTCTGTCGTGTGTTGTGGAAAAATATGTATGGGGAAATTGTATCATTGGTGTCCTTAAACCATTGCTGTTAGTTGCAAGTTGGTCTCCATACTTTTCATTATGGTGTTCAAAGTCTTTAATGATGGAAACTGCCCAGACTTTTGTTTGATTGCACGTGTCATCAAATTTCCTCGGTGCTAGCTCCAGTTATGAAGTAAACCCAACTTTATATAGTTGGAGACGAGTGGCATGTGATAGTTTAACAATGTTTGGCAATTTTTGACTTGGGGACTTATTGTGCAACTGTAATGAAAAGATAAAGAGGCGTTGAATCGTTTTATTACTGTGGTCAGCCAATCCAACTACGTTCCATTCGTGAAAACCGAGTTGCAAACACCAAAATTTGAACAAGAACAGTTAAAATGAGATCAAAGCAGTAAAGATTCTAACATCAGGAAACGGAATAACAAACAGAAAAGGAAGAACATGACCTGACATTTTTGCACAGAACATGAAGGTCGATCTTCCTTGTAAAGCTTCCAGAATTGGTTCTCCTACGAGGAAAAATATGATTATGGGGCTTGTAGGCCTAAAAACTACAACTAGCCACACTAGAATAATGCTAGATGTACACTCTCCATGATATTGTGATTGACATGCCTCTATGTGGAAGAAACATGTGCAGTGATGTGATAAATATATTTAAAATCAATGGCTATGATGGATTCATTGAAAAGAGTGATAAGTTAAAATGAGATCAAAGCAGTAAAGATTCTAACATCAGGAAATGGAATAACAAACAGAAAAGGAAGAACATGACCTGACATTTCTGCACAGAACATGAAGGTCGATCTTCCTTGTAAAGCTTCCAGAATTGGTTCTCCTACGAGGAAAAATATGATTATGGGGCTTGTAGGCCTAAGCCCTACAACTAGCCACACTAGAATAATGCTAGATGTACACTCTCCATGATATTGTAATTGACATGCCTCTATGTGGAAGAAACATGTGCAGTGATGTGATAAATATATTTAAAATCAATGGCTTTGATGGATTCATTGAAAAGAGTGATATAAATGAGAGTCTACATGTAGCATTATTCGTCATAGTATAGCCGAGCTCAATGGTTGAGCCAACTTACCATCATGTGTTGCGTCGTAGGTTTTCAAATCACTTGTGTAAAAATGATTTCCAGATGATTGTACTAAAATCAGGCCAACATGCTGTGTTTTGCTTTTCACGTGTCAAGACCGCTTGAATTATAGACCTATTTCTTTTTAATTTGAAGTATTTTATATAATTTTAATAATTAAATATCAAAATTTTATTAGTTTTATATTCCTCGGTGGCCATTTTTTTTGGAGAAACATTGTTTTGAAATTTTTGAAGAATGTGTACTTAAAAAATAGAGAAATTTTTTGAGTGCGCATATATTTTATTTTGTGAATCTTGGTTAAAAATAAGTACCTAAAATGAAAAATATTGAAAGGATGAGAGACGGGACCCGGGCTAAGTATGACATCAAATATGTCGGACCGTTATGATTTCTCAGGCTTGAAACCGGAAATCTCAAACGAGCAAAATTTTACTATAAATTACTATTCACACAGGAATGTGTGTATTACGGATCAAAAAAGGAAAAATTCTTGGCTATTTATTTGCAATTGCACATCGATATTTATGTTATATACATCTAGGTCTAATTTTGTGCGTCTATTTTGAAAGCGAAAGGTTGTGTCCTCCGTGGAGTGGGTGCTGCACAGATCTGATTGTGGAAGGTAAGTGTTTTTATCTTGTTATGCACATCGTTTCGCATAAATTATGCACACATATCAATGCTAATTTGTTTTCTGAAATGCATTTTGATTTGCTAATGCAAGTTGTCTATTTGTGGATTTGTGTTCTTCCGAGAATTAATTTGGTGCTGAAATTATTCCGTGTTTGATGCGCGCGTGAAATTTATCATTGTACCTTATTTTGTATTTGTATCTGTTTATCTAGGGTTTTCTACTTTTGCGAGATAATTGGTAGAATAGTTTGGATTTATAGTTTGAATAATGTAAAATTATGATGATTGTGAAGCTGCAAGCATTTATTCTCGAGATTATTAACGTGTATAAAAGAATATTCAAATTTGATTATTTTATCAATACATGGTCAAAGTAAGTGAACTTCTATATGAGTGATCTTTGTATGGTATTCTCTTGCATTTTTCCATATTCACAAGTCATTATCATATGATTGTTCATATGTACTATCGAATGTTATTTTTCCCACATTTGAAACATAATTTATTTTTTTTGTTGATTATAAGTTTTCACTGTTTAGATACAATAACATGCCTTCTAAATAGACATAAGTGAGCATAAGGTCCGTAACAATGGTATGGATGGATTTACTAATGGAGATACTTTCATTTTGTGATTCAAGCGTAGAAACATAGATCTTATATTGCTGTTGCATGTTTTTGACCTCTGCCAGAGAGTTTGGTTTGTAAATCTAATAAGATGAAGTGACAATTCCATGATCTAACTCTGGAGAAAGAGGACGTTTTGAAGCGTATTTTATTTAATTTCTATGGATAAGCCTGCTGTTCTTTACTATGGAAGTATAGATGTCAGAAAGAGCATATCTTCTTGTCAAGTATACTCCCTCATTCTGGAATTGAATATCTTTATTCACTTCTGCGGTCAAACTATCGGTCTATATTGTGATGTTGGGACTTGTGAGAAATAATCCTTCTACTTCTGGTGCAATTAATAATTACCATTTTCAAGTTACAAGTTACAACTAAGAAAATTTGAAATATAATCGGTTACAATTTAAACGAAGTGCAGATTTCCTGGATATACGTGATCTTTTTAGTATTTATGCATGAAGGCTGAACTTAATAAGCCTATAAGAGCATATCTAAGAGACTCTATTTTTAAAGAGCATATTTTACAATTTAGAGAGCATCTATAAATTTATAAAGTAAATTTTTTTAAATACTCTAACAGTCTCTTTATATTTAACACTTAATTTTATTACTCCCAATATGTATTTATTATTTTTCTCTCTCTTTTATTTTCACAAACCTTCCTCCAAATTATTATATTATGTCCTTTCATCTTTGTATATACTATTTAGTTATTCAATATATTGAGCATTGAAAATCGAAATATTTTGAATGCATTTAATTATAAAGAGTGGATTTTGGTCACTTTCTATTTTAAACTGTTAATTTGAAAAGTCTCTTGAAACATAATTTTACGGATTGACTATATAAAATAGAGAGTATTTCACTTTTAAAGAGTTTTTTTTGGAGATGCTCTAAGCCATGGGCCCACACAAAAAGTGTGGTTAAAAATTTATGGGGAGTGAGTCCTACACAAAGTAAGAAATTATTAAGGTCAACCTCACTTATGTGGCTTATTTCGACCCACAAAAATTTTTGCGCCCATGGCTTATATTTGCCCAACGTGCTCAATTGTTGAAATTATTTTTTGAAATTTGTAAGTTAATGTGATTAGGCGTGGAAGAGGAAAGAAAGAAGTTCAAATCTTTGACCTAGGTAAACACAATCATTTTGTTTTACGCCTTCAATACTTCTAAACTCAAAGATATGAATAAAATGAATCTTTACTATATTGGGAATGTCTGATAGATCTGAAGGGGCCTTCTGTAGCCATCAAGGAACAATCCAAGGATGTTAGTAGAAGCATATCTTGTATTCAATTGTACTAGTGTTTCATTTTTAACATATTATTAAAGATGGTAGGCATTTGATTTTTATTCCAACTACAAACGCCTCCTTCCCAGTACCCCCACCCCAATGTTTCTAGATCAAGATCAAATACATTTAACTGCAAAGTTGGGAAGAAATTCTTTTACATAATCCTAAAAATGAGGAAAAAGCAGTACAATAACAAAATGACGCGAACAGCGGAAAACTACCTAATTTTGAGCACAATGTGTCAAAAAAAAAAAAAAGAAAAGAAAAAAGAAAAGGAATGAAAGAAAGAAAATTTTAAATTAAGAGTGATTATGAATTTATACGAAGGTAGCAATGTGGATCATGCTAGCATCACACCATTTGTTCCATTCAACTCACTGCATTGAGATGATTTTCAAAATTTCACCGACAGATGTCTAGAGATCCGAATTGTCTACGTTACCAAATTACTCTACTACTACCATCTATTTCTAGCCAATTTTGCAAACCTTAATATCTCTTAGCATGCCTCATTTCTAACTATTTGTATAAACTTCAAGGAAAATTATTTTCATTTTTCAGGCTTGTTCTTCTGTGGTTTTTATAAAAGCCGACTGTTTAAGTAGTTCTACAGAAAATGTTGAGATTCAAAATTTTTGACAAAAATATACACAGATCATCTAGATTTGAAACATAATAGTGAAGGTCTATGTTCTTGATATTAGCTTTATTACATCGATGCCCTCCCTCCTCCCTCAAGGCCGTGGCTGTCTCCACCTGTTTCTTTAATGTTATTTCATGGTGTTGCTCGACTTCTTCTTGTTAGGATCTATAAATGGTTCTTTCAGATGATTGTGAAACTGGTTATTATTAGACATACTTCAATTCCTTTTACGACTAACTGTACATAAGTTAATGCACTTTGTTTACTTGTACATCATTTTGTAGGATTTGTGCAATCAGCAATATCTAGTCAAGTTCTTCCATCAACCAATTTATTTTGAGGTACATCTTGGAAATGGCGGATGGAATATCAAGCTTTTGGGGGCCTGTCACATCTACACATGAGTGGTGTGAGCCAAATTATGTCTACTCTTCCTATATTGCCGAATTTTTCAACACCATGTCTAATGTACCAGGCATTATATTAGCACTCATTGGTCTCGTGAATTCCCTGAGACAACGTTTTGAGAAAAGGTTTAGCATCCTTCACATATCAAATATGATACTCTCCATCGGCAGCATCCTATATCATGCCACGTTACAGCGGCTGTAAGTTTTCTATGTATGTTCTTATCTATCTGCAAACTGAGCTGGAGGTGGTGAATTTTTTTGGGTCATTTACATTTATAAATTTTGCTTCATGTTTGCTTAATTAATGCTAGTATACCATTTTAATAGAAGTTTAAAAAGAAAGCAAGCATGCATGAGTCCAGAAATGTTAAAAGTGAAATTCAGAAATTTATAAACACTATCAAAGTCTATTAAGAAACCAACAGAGGAAAACTATTCCATGGAGACCAGAAACATGTTATGACAGAATTTTGTCCCTAGAAGTTATGTTTATTTCCCTTTTCTGGAATACAGTAATCCCATATGACATCTTATACTTTTCCTTCTGGCTTTGTGTACTGAATCTGGAGATGTATCCCTTCTCAATGATTGTGTAGCGGAAACAGAAAGAAATGAGAAAAGAATAAATGGTATTTCAATTCTAAATTCTATTTTCAAGGTGAGTTTCCTTGTATTTTGTTTATTCCCATTATAAAATCCTATGTTGAGGTGATTGCCTATCTGTTTGATATAATGTGCTGCAATTTATTGCTGATTCTTTTCAACCATTTTATCTCTGCGGAACCTTTAGGAGGTATGGACAACTCGAATGTGATGTATTCGCAAATAATTTATAAATTTTTTCCTTAACTATAATTGAAACTTTCTTGTCTGAAATGTGCATAATAGAGTAAGGAAGATAAACTTAATGCTAGTAGGTTTTGACGTTCTAAATTCCTTACATCTTCTGAACTTCAAGGCAAGTAGAACTTGATTATTTTATTTAAAGAACTTCATATAGTCTTTGTGTTTCTCATATCCATGTCCACCAAGTGTTATGAGTAAATTTATTGATTAATTTAAGAGGATCTTTTCCAACCTCCCTCTCTCCAACTTTTAGTTGTTATTTAACCTGCCCCTGCCCCTGCCCCTGCCACGTGAGGTAGGGAGAGAAGGGGTGGGGTTGGGTGGAGGTAAAGATATTGAAATGAATTGCTCATTGCTTCATGCAGTCTGCACATTCTGTGATAGAATCCAGTTAAACTGTCCTCTTTCCAGATGACGTAACTAGTAGGATATCTGAGAGAGCATTAATTGGTTTCGAAATGGAAGAAAAATCTATTTTTTGGTAATATAGAAGTCTGCCCTAGAACTTGTGAAAATCTTACTTCATACTATCTGATGTGCTATTTGATTCAGAAAGTATTGCTAGACTCGAACACAGTTTTGTATTTTACAAGTACCTCACTACTGGGTCTTTTGTTTTGTCTGTTATTTTCTCTTCCTTATTATGGTACCCAGTTATAGACTATTTTTGCAAATTTCAATTGGGCGTGGTTGTGAAAGTTTACAAGTGTGAATCTACTGCATGAACACAAAGTTGCTTTTTATTTTATTGGTTTTTGCTTTCGTATGTTTGTCAGTGTTTGTTTCTTCTCAGTTTAGCATGTCAACTATTGTCAAGTGAATGAGGTTTAAAGCCAACTTCCTGCCAGCTGTGCTCTAGCTTCTCGTGCTATGTTGCCTTTATGTCTTTTTAGCTTTTAGCATGGCTTTTGTTGATCAAGAAGAAGTTGCTAAGAAAGGGGCTTCGAATTATCTCATTCATAAATATTAGTATGTTAGTGGTCCCTTACCTTGTTGACTTTAGAAGCTGAAAATCGCAGAAACAACGAATATGTGTCGCTGTTTCACTTTTATGTATTGTCAGTTTTTAATTTTTAATTTTTTTAATTCACAGATAACAAATATATCAAATGCTTTACTTCTCTGTTCGTTAGTATAATTCTTGGACAATGTTAATGGGGATCCTGATAGCAGCAGACCTTCTTTATATATCTTCTTTTTCATCGTTTTGGGTGCACTTTCAGTCTTGATTCTTAGTTTGATATTAAATATCATATTATCCATATGAATGTAAAAAATAACAATGCTGAACTTAGGATATCAAGTTAATTGTCTGTCATTTATTGGGCTATGCCGTTGAATTATCTCCCATGAGAAGGAAGGCAAATTCTTGTATTTGTAGACTGTAATAGTGGCTATGAATGTTGTCATAGTGGATATATTGGACTTTTTGTTGTGATGCGGTTGCAACCATTAATTGTTGCCTGTAGCGATTATTGCAAAAGAAACTGAAGAGCCTATTTTAGTTTCCATGCATCCTTGGATTTATCTAATTGTTTTTACTATCGATATCTTCCTACGTTGACGAGTGGACTTATTGGAAGATCATTGTGTATGCCTTTAAAATCACTATTGTGAAACTGTACCCATTTAGTTTGTATGACCTATTGGAAATTCGTTGTTATTCTATCAATTACTAATGAATATGAAATGCTCTTTAAGCATGTGAATACTAATTAATGTTTTTGAGTGCTGATAAGCTTCTGATGAATAAATACATCCATGGAATATATACTATTTGGAAATTGTTAAAAGGCAAGCTTGATATTAAGCAATCACAATTATTACGACTCACTGAATTACACCAAAATATTTGGTGGATGGTAATATTAAGTGCTTCTAAAGACACAAATTGACAGCTACTATTCGTCTAGGGGTTTTGTCTTTCATGGTTCCAAGTGGTGGTGTTGAATGCTCTTGATTATGGAATGGCTGTATGAATGTTACTTTGTTTAACTGAAAACAAAATACTCTATCATGTTATGTGTAATTGCTATTTTGTACATCTACTTATTTTGGCAATTTTGTCTATAATTATCATTAATTAATGAAACCAACACAGAGAAATTAGCTTTATTTAATTTGGATTCCCCCCTCAACACCTCCTCACACCCCCCTCCCCACCATCATCTAGAGTTGGGAGGTAGTTCAGAACTGCTTTTAGTCCTCTATAAAAAGATTTGATCTCGAGAAATGATTTGAGGCTGGGACATGCTCGGCATTAGGAGTTTGGAAGGATTATTGCTCTGGGAAGCTATACATGGAATTCTGGATTCTTTTGAGGTATTTTTGTTGGGATGGGGGATACATAATGTAAGTAATGGTGCTTGTATGTGACGTGATAAGAGCTAAAAAATTTCCTTGGATAGTCTATTTGATCATGTCGAAACTATAAAACAGAAAAGCGGCAGATGTAAGAAAGGTAAGGCACTCACTTCATCACCGAGGAGAGAATTCTAAGGATTCTGTATTATAATTAAGCTAGACTAGCGAGTGAAAAAAAAAATGTTGTGCTTATCTCGACTCTATATAGACTGCTTCTGAATCTTTGTTGGGTTTCTTAGAGAAGTGATGGTTGGTGTTTTTCCCTAGTATTGTTTTCTGTTTATGCTATGTGCTCGGGAATTGCACTGCGTTTAGTACTTTGGTCCCTTGCAATATTTTGATTGTTGTGGTTTCTAGCACTCTGCTTACCAAGATGACATGAATTGATCTTGATAGTAAAATGATGACTTTTATAACATGTGATTGGTATTGGAATATATCGGAATGTCGTGTGATTAAATTGGTGCTGTATGATTTCCGTTGTAAGACGATAAATATAAGATAAAGTATTGCTTTATGACAAAATAACAAATGCTGAACCTGTACTCGCTCACTTTCAAGTTATTAAGGACGATGTACGGAAAATATTGTGTTATTGAAACTGTCATCTTAAAATAGCTTCAATTTAATATATCTGTTTATGTCAATCAGACGATATTTCTTGCTATAATACATTGGTGACTACTATCCATATTTTTTTTTAGGCAGCAGCAAGGTGATGAAACACCCATGGTGTGGGAAATGCTCCTATATATTTACATCCTATACTCACCAGATTGGCATTATCGGAGTACAATGCCCACATTTTTGTTCCTCTACGGGGCAGTTTTCGCCGTTGCACATTCACAGCTCCGCTTTGATATTGGTTTTAAGATGCACTACTTGCTGCTTTGTTTTCTTTGCATTCCTCGGATGTACAAGTATTACATTTACACAGACAACAAATCTGCTAAGCGGCTTGCAAAGGTGTATGTCGCCACTTTATCTGCTGGAAGCCTCTGCTGGCTAGTTGACCGTCTGTTCTGCAAGGACATCTCGCGCTGGTTCTTCAATCCACAGGGTCATGCAATGTGGCATGTTTTCATGGGTTTTAACTCTTACTATGCGAATACGTTCTTGATGTTCTGCCGTGCCCAACAGCTCGGGTGGGATCCAAAAGTTAAGCACTTTTTGGGAATTTTCCCCTATGTGAATATTCAAAAACCGAAAGCCCAGTAGAACTTACGGAACCACTAATTTGCTGGCGAAAGCAACGGGTCATGATTCTCTCCCTTTCTTTTCTCAATTTGAAGAATGCAAAGCAAATGGTAACTGGGAATCATTATGGCTGATCGGATACTGGTTAAATTTTGACCGTAAAACTAACATTTTCTTGATGTACGATATTTTGAAATACTTGCACAAAAGATTGCATGAACTAGGCATTAGTAATGAAATTGTCATATTTTATTTTCTTTTGAAATTATATGGGTATTCTTATTATTTTTGAATTATGAATGATGAGCGAGACGGATTTTAGATTAATCTGTTGGCACGCATCTAATGTCATCGAACCATAGTTTTTTTCACATGCGCCTTTGTACATTTCCCTGAGATAGGTCTCAAATGTTTTTTTCTACTGGTTAGTTGAAGTTTCTTAGAGAATGGTCGGCTTTGAGTACTTCCTATAAGTTGGTTGTAGATTATTGGGTGCATTCCATCGATGATTTTGTTAGCTTATTATTTGCTGAGAAATTACGAGATCGTTTCCTCTTGTATTATGTTTAGCATTGTAACTTAATCTGCTTGGAATCGAATCCATATTTTGATCTTATCTAAAAGTTGGGTAAAATTCACCAATTACCACCAAATTTCATATTTAGGGTCATATTGGCCACCTAATTTAATTTTCTTTCACAATGGTCACCCAACTTCATATTTAATGTAACGTTAGTCACCCAATTTGATTATGTTAAATAAATGGGTAATTAGCACATGACGTCCTTATTTTTCACTATTATTGTAGAAAACGTCATTACCTTTCATTTTTTGGCATTTTTACTTTTATTTCTATATTTCATTGTGTAAAATGTCATTTTCATCCATTTTTTTAATTAAAAGTTGTGAAATGACAAATATACCCATTTATTTAAACGAAAGAAAAAGAAAGAACTAATTGTAATTATAGTCCCAATTTTCTTTTTTTAAAAAAAGTGCAAACGAGTTTCAAATAAATTCTTAAAAGGGTAATTAGTACGTAATATTCTTAAATTTTACTATTATTGTGAAAAGAAAAATGCTATTAATTCCCAGTGGGGATGCATCCCCAATCTATGTGGATGTAAACGATTGGTTAAATGATATGTGAAATTAAATGACTTATTTAATTTCACCTATCATTTGATACTACATTAACGCCACATAGACTGGGGATGCATCCCCAGTTGGGATGAATAACATTTTTCTCGTGAAAAATGTTCCTTCTTTTTTTAATGTTTTGCAATTTCTTAATAAAAAGTTGTGAAATAACAAATATATCCTCTTATTTAAATAAAAAAAATAAAAAATTAATTGTAATCCCAAATTTTTAAAAAAGTGTGCAAACGAATCTCAAATAAATTATTAAAAAGTGAAAACAAGTCTTAAATAAATTATGAAAAAAATTAGAAATTAAAAAAAGAATTTAATAAGGTGCAAACAAGTTCTAAATAAATTATTTAAAAAATTAGAAATTAATTTTTTTTAAAAAAAGTGCAAGTGTCCCAAATAAATTATTTAAAAAAATAAAAAAGAGCAGACGAGTCTCAAATAAATTATTAAAAATTAAAAAGTTCACAATTTTAAAAAAATTAAAATTTTAAAAATATTTTCGTTATTTATTTTATTTAAATATAATGGTATATTCGTCATCTCACAATTTTTTATTGAGAAATGAGATGAAAATGGATAAAAATAATGATTTGCGCAATCAAATGTGTAATTAATGGTGAAAATGCCAAAAAAATAAAAGATATGACATTTTTCATAACAATAGTGAAAGGTATGAACAATATGTGCTATTACCATTTTAACAATTTATTTGGAACTCGTTTGCACTTTTTTAAAAAAAATTAGGGCTACAATTGCAATTAGTCTTTATTTTTCTTTTTATTTTATTTAAATATAATGATATATTTGTCATTTCATAGCTTTTAATTGAAAAAGTGGATGTAAATGATTTTTTGTGCAATGAAATGTGAGAATGAAGGTGAAAATGTCAAAAAAATGAAAGGTAAGAATATTTTTCACAATAATAGTAAAATGTAAGAATGTTACGTGCTAATTTTGTAGTATTATTTCTTGGCCATACACCTCTATGTATGTGTTTTTAACTTTTGTTGATTTACTTGGTAAGATCATATATTGATTATCTAATTTGATGTTTATTATTGAAGCAATTTGTACATTTGCAGAAAACCAACAGAATACTCACACGTGGTGGGTCCCATGTAAGTAAAATATTTTTTTAAAAAATCCACCCCCTGGTGTGAGGATTTGTTTTTCTTCTGTGAACTCTACCCGATCCCATCTGAGTCAATTTCATGAGTAAATTCTATTTGTGGTAACTATATTTTTATCGTAGTTTCAATTTTGTTTAACAATGCCATTGCACTTTAATTTATAATAATTTCAAATAACAACATTGGTGTCCATGTGTTCTTAAAGGGTAAATATCACCAAAAAATCCCCAACTTTTGACTCTTGTTGTATTTTGGCCTCTACCTTTAAAAAGTATCTTTTATGTCCACAACCTTTCATATTTTTATAGCACTTAAGTCCCCTATTAGACAATTTTACCCTTATCTTTATGCACCTAGTTAAAATTCATTCAAAACGATGATTTTACCATTACATTTAATAAACCAAAAAGTAAATAAAAGCTAGATAGAAAAAGAACGAATTATTCCTTTCTCCACCCATTGCCTGTCAAACACCTCCGCCTGATCCCATCTGAGTCCATTTCCACTACCAAATCCCCAATTTCTTATCCCTATTTCAACTTTAATAAAATCAATCTTGATGTAATTTTGGGGGTTAAATTCACCCGTGGCCACCCAACTTTATACTAAGTTTCATCATGGCCATCTAACTTTATACTTAGTGTCACTATGACCATCTAATTTGATTTTATTTCATCATGATTATCCAATTTCATATAACGTTTCAATATGACCACCCAACTTATTTTCACTATTTTCATTAATTTTAAATTGGTAAAAATGTAACTTTGCATTATATATATAAAAAAAATTTGAAAAAAAAAATTAAAATAAAAAATTATTTAAAAAAAGTTACTTAATAAAATAAAAACTTATTTTTGAAAAAAATGTTACTTAAAAAAATAAAAACTTATTTAAAAAAAGTCACTTAGAAAAATACAATAAAAAAAAATGTTATTTAAAAAAATAAAATAAAAACTTATTTAAAAAAGGTTTTTAAAACAAAATAAAAACTTATTTTAAAATTTAAAAAAATTAAAAAAAAATTATCATATATATATATAATACAAAGTTACTATTTTACCCATTTTAAATTGTTAAAAGAAATTGGGTGATCATTGTGAAATATTATATGAAATTATGTTGTTATGGTGAAACGTTATATGAAATTGGGTGACCATTATAAAATAAAATAAAATTGAATGATTATAATAACACTAAATATAAAGTTAGATGAACATGGTGAAATAAAATCAAATTGAATGATTATGGTAACACTAAATATAAAGTTGGATGATCATTGGTGGATTTAACCCAATTTTGGGTGTTTGAACCATAGGGATGAAAAATTTTCGCATCCCCAACCTCTCCTGCCCGACTCGGATGGAACGGGAGATTCCCTTCTTGATTTTCTGAATATCTTTACTTTATTTTACTTTCATATTTTTAATTTAAACCGTATTTAAAAATTAAAAAATAATATAAAAAAGGCAATTTGAACTTTTTATTTGTAATCTTTGCGAAACGTAACAAATTTATTCTGTACCTTTTTTTAGCACAATTCATTCTCTACATTTTAGTTATGTAGCAAAATTCGTCATTCCTTTCATTTTGATTGTTAAATGATGGAGTTTCCCTTCTCTACGAATAAAAATAAATGAAAGAAAGTAGTAAAACAACAAAAAATAAGAAAAAAAAATATAAATAAAGTCCCACTGTAGGCATGGGTTGGGTTGGGTCGATTTTTGCCTCAACCTAATATGATCGGTTTGATCAAAATTTAGTCTAACCAAACCCGTGTAAAGGTTGAAACCCAACACAACCCAATCAAGTATCGATCGGGTTGGGTTGGGTTGGGTTGGGTTGGGTAGGGTTGGTCGGTTTGTGACAACTTGCCAACAAAAATTAAAATCACCCAATCGTCTATTATACTAAATTCGAATAGATAAGATTAAACAATAAGTAAATAAATAAAATTATTTATTATCTTATTCAATTCTCATTAACCGAGTTTACAAAGAACAAAGTGCATCTAATATAATATGGAAAAGTTATACTACATTTCTTGTGGGAATGAGAGTAAACTCATTCTCTAAAATGCACCAAGCTAATTAGAGTTGTACTATCCACTCGTACTTTTTAGGCATTTTATTTATTTATTTTAAGTAGGTGGGTAGGGTAGGCTAGGGTAGGGTTGGACGGGTTTATTCGATTTTTATGAGTTAACCCATAACCCGATCCAACCCAACCCAATCCGCCTACATAGCCAACCCGTGTAAAAACAACAAAAAAAATCAATCCAAACAAATTGGGTTGGTTCGAGTTGGACGATTTTGGTAGGTTCGGTCGAGTTTTGCCCATCTAATAGAAATATTTCATCTCTTCGAACCAAGCTCATCCACCGCCTCGTCAAAATCCAGTGTAACCCCCTCCCTCTCACGATCATACACCACCTCGAGACATGTGATTTTTATTATTCATTTATGTCCTATACTTTTTGTAATGTGCTGTGGGGGACAAAATTTTACTCGTCGATTTAAGTAAACATTCACATCATTAAGTTTTTTGTTTTAACACCTTTGCTAGATACATTTTCTTTTGTGACAGACTTTACAATGCGTCTTCAGATGTGAATATTTTCTGTCATTGAAAAAAAAAAAATCATTGCATTTCCATGTATGAAATCGTCGATTATTCTTCAAGGCTGAAATCTTCATGATGTTCCTATTTCGCGCGTTTTCGCTCGCTAACAATTAAAAAGGGGATCAAACGATTGTGTAAGGGACAAACCTCTTGGAACAAAGTCCCAAAGAGGGGTGTTTATTGAATATGAAGATTACAGTTTGGACACGAACAAGATTCCTCCAAGGGGCGCAAGCACACAAGTACAAGGGAATTGAAGTAATTTAAAGATTAATCTAAGAAAAGTAAGTTACATGTTCTCTGTTTTGAAAGTGAATTTTTGTCGGGGCTTATCTTCGTTGTCTTCTTCCTTCTTTTATACGGCCTGGACAGTTTTGATCGTTTTAGCAACTGCTTGTAACTACCCACTTCTTTCATCATGGTCGGCTGGCTAAAAACTACCGTGTGCAACTTCTATCACTACGCTCTCTTCATAACTGCTTGCCATCAATTTTCTCAAATCGTGGGGCGTAATTATGATGTGCTCAAACCGTCTTAGATCGTGATTTTGGATAACAACAAACTTTGGTCATCTCTTGGACTTTGGGCGACTCAGCATTCTTGGGCGACAATTGATCTTCTGCTCTGGGCGATTGTAGGGTGTTTCATTCGCTCAATATCTGGGTGTCCTGCCGACTTGGGCGACGTCGTACCTTTGTCTTTTTGGACTTTCCTCATATTTAATGATATTTCTGATTGGGCTTTTACCCTGATCTCTCTATCTGGACTTCTTTTTTAGAGCAATTTCCTCTCTTGGGCCATTTGATTTGGGCTGCCTGTTTTATGTGTCAACAATTACCCCCTTCAAAAGATCCATTTGTTCGCTACAGGGAAAAATTAAAAGACAAAGAAAAAGGTAAATTCATTTCATGATGAAGCATATCACAATTAGAAAAGCAGGGATGTTGCTGTGGTTCCCTCAATGACCAAAATTGCACACAAGTTGATAGAAAAAATACAAGTTGGATAATACAATTTGGGGTTTCCAAAATGTTTCTCTCAAAGCAATGTTAATTCTATTAAATTGTAGAGCTTAATTATTGCGACTTTGTGGACTCAGTACGTGAAATCTCGTACCTATAATTTTTATTTTGCAGAAACATCGTTAGGATTGTGAATTACCACCATAAGGTGAGAGATATTCTCTTATATCATAATGAATTACTGTAGCACGGAAGATGACGTAGTATTACACTAAGAAGAACCTCATTAAATCTTATTTTTTTAATATTTATTTTCTTTCTACGAATTTATTGTTCTTGGTAGTAGAATTAGAGTTTCTAATTCTCAACAAATTTCTTATAAAACAAAGACAATTTCAATGAAAAGTATATATAATTAGTGTGTATAAACACTACAAAAAAAATGGGTTCAATCATCGATTTTCAGTTCCTGAAGCCACAATATCTATTGCTAATAATCGTCACCAACAGAAAAGATCTAATTCTTATCTCTTACACTTTATTGGCCATGCAAAACAACATTACATGGATACACATCTACCAACAAATTAACCAAAATTCGAATTCTAAAACAGCAGGCAAGTTACAAGTAAGTGAATTTGGGTACTATTGTTTAACCATTCCATAAAATCTATGGCACGACGAACTCATTTTGTGCCATTATCGCCAAGCAGATAGATACTATAGTAGAAGTTCCTCGGCCTTGTTGGCTTCTGGGAAAGTAAGCCCAGCATTTTGAAAGTTCATCAACACACTCGGTATCTAAAGCAGCGCTTAATTTGGTGTGCACCGTGCCATTGGCACCGGCTGCAAAAGCATCCTGTCCCTCCATAAGCATATCAATCACTGTCTGGAAAGACTCTTTGCATGTTTTCTCAAGGGATTGTTTCTTAATAGATGGCAGATTAGCTATTGCTGGTGCAATCATATCGTTCTTAGATTTAAGGTTTTTAGCAAGCGATAGTGTAACCTTGATGGCTTTTCCAATGGCATCGTGCCAGTTGGTTGCTCCACTGATCATCGTATTGCAAAGGTCCTTGTCTTTCGCGGTTTTGCAGAAAGCGCTGTCTTTCTCTGCAATGCCATGGGAGAGGCGATTATAGCTAGAAAAAGAAATGAGAAAAAATTGAATTTTTGGGAGGCCATGGATTTGGCTGATTTCTTTTCTTCCTTCTGGTTTCTTGAATCTTTGGATGGATTTAGAGGAATGACTTCTTGTCCGAAAATTTGTAGTGAATTTCTTGCTTTTTTTCTGAACAATAATTTGTTATTAGCTTGAAACATGAAAAGGTAAAGGTTTCCTTAGTTATAGTAATAGGTGTTTTTTTTTTTTTAATGACTCGTGTATTCAAGCTTCTCCCGACTAATTTTGGAGAGTGCGGCCTTCCCCCTGATTTGCCACCCACGTAAATTGAATGCGATCACAACGTATACACCAACACATATCAATTAATACATACAAGAAATACAATAATCTGTATAAAACATCAATGAAATGTTTAAATAATTATTATATTTGTGATTCTGATTGGATGGGGTAAAATAATAATTTTATGCTCGACATCGATAAATTGTTGCCATTGACAATGGCAATCTCAAATTTCAGTTTTAGCGGTCGGTCTGCTTTACATCTCTACGTGATAGACTATTGTACCATTTATTAATTTATATTAATATACATAAATTCACCGACACATAATTGAAATACATCAATAAAAATAAATATACTCACACAAGAATCTTGAAATTAATTATACCATGCATTTGCTTTTATTAGAAAATCTTTTCTTTGGCTATAGCTTTCAGTCCAAGAATAGTTGGACGCATGCGTGCCATTAAGAACAATCTTAGAGGCATGCCAAAAATAAATCATTTATATCTCTCTTATATATTGTTTTTGCTACCTTAATTCCAAATTTGAAATTATTTTCTATGCATTTTGTCATATAAATTTTCAATGATGGACAGAAGGGAAGGTATCTTAGATGGGAAATGCAAAGGCATCTGCATTCTTGTTGTGAATGATGATTTTACATGTCGGAATATCGCGACTGAAATGCTTAAGCACTGCCATCATGAAGGTACTGAGTGAAGCAGCATTAGCATAAGAAATATGTATGATTCTGGTAATATAAATATTTGTTACATGTTATGCATACAACCTGATTCACTAGCTGTTTTCATTTTCTCAGAATTGTATACTGGACAAATTTCGGAGGCTATAAGTATCATGTGGGAGAGAAAGGATAGATTCGAACTGGTTTTAACAAATGCTCACAGGTTAGAGTCGGACGAATTTTATATCGTCCAATGTGTTCAAAACCGGTTCAATCTTCCTACCATTTGTAAGTACAACTTTTTAATTCCTTCATATTACTCGAAAATAATGATGTTCAGACAAAATCTTCAGTTTTCAAGTATTTCATTGCAGTAATGTCACCAGATAAGATGAAGATAGCATCGAATGGTGAAGATTATATTGTTTCAGCATATGTTGTGAATTCTCTGTGTCGAAAGGATATAAATGGTCTTTGGCAATCTGCATTTAAGAAAGTAAAAGCCAACAAGGTGGAGGTGGTAGCTAAACTAGAAGGCAATTCTCAAGAGAGATCCATGTCGTATAATGTAGTTGAAGCGGAGAATAATTTGTCATCAAATAGTGAGCCAACACAAGCTCAACATCAACTAAAGAGAGAAGAAGATAGAAATTCAAGTGAACAAAATGAAGTTGGCAAAGATGATTCCCATAATAAAAAGAAACCAAGGATGGTTTGGACCAGAGAAATGCATCAGAAATTCTTGGTAGCCATCGACTTTTTAGGCCCGGAAAGTAATATGCCCTTCTTTTTGTCCTCTTTCTCTTGTTCTTTGAAAATAACAACCACCCATACATTTTCACTGTTTCTTGGTACTTTCTCAGAAGCAGTACCAAAGAAAATAGCTGAGAGAATGAAAGTTCCCGGGTTAACCAGAGAAAATGTTGCTAGTCATTTGCAGGTTTTTTCCATATCAATTTGAATCTTCAACTTGTTATGATACTTAAATTCTTGATTTAACAAAGGCGGTTTGATCTTTTTTCCAGAAATATCGCGATTGCAAAAAAAGAGATCATGATGTAAGTGTTAATTCCATGCATGACACGAACACGAGAAATCTATACCAGGGATCAGGTTATTTTCCATCCCTTTCGGTGTCAAGATTCAACTCTTTGCAAAGGAATTCCATTACTGTACAACAGGGTTACACAACACCTTTTCACCAAGGTTCATATTTTTTGAATGCAAAAGAATCTACAAGCACCTTGAACTTGAGGCAATCACAATTACTTTCTGCAAACAATCAGAGGGTCACTCGATTCCTAAATAGAACCGTGCCAGAAAGAAACAACTATACAAATCTTGGGATTTCGCAACAGTTGCAACAGAAATGCACTCCTAGAGTACAAGACAAAGAAGCATATGGTGAGATCAATAGAGATAATTCATCTACAGGCACCAACCAGTCGACAAATTCTAATTCTACTTATGTGTACGTCGGATTGAGATTTGCAAATGATGGAAAGTCAATCAAGAGTAGCCAACATAAAGTTTCTACTCATAATGTAATCAGTACAGAAGCACTAGTTTCCGATTTAAGAACTACTGGGGATGAGTTAAATTTTAATTGGCTGGGAACATCCACGAGTTATATCCAACCAAACATGAGTTCATTTTCGAGCCCTTCAACATTGACAGACTGCATTTCCTTACAGCCTTCTCAGCCAGAAACATCTGCATATCATAATCCTTCAACGTTGATCGAGGGCATTTCCCAACAGCCTTTTCTGTTAGAAAATCTTTCAAGAGATATGCAACAACGAAAATTTATGCCAATTTTAAGACCATCTTTGCCACGACTGCCAGCAAACGAGGATGATGTTCAACACGTTTCAACATCAGAAAATAGCAGCTTCCATCAACACCCTTCTATCCCATTACCACAAAAATTGCAAGAATCAAACGATTTTCTCACTGACAGGGAGATGAACAATATTTTTATAAATGGAATAGGAACTACATATCCTCAATATACTTTGGAAGACTTAGATGATTCATTTTTTGTTGATGATGAATCAGTTCGGTAAATAATTTTTTTTCCCACATATTTGTGTTTTAACAAGTATGATCTCAAGGTGTATATATAGTTTATAATTGGATTAGCATCAACTTTAGTTCAGAATTTCCAAAAAAAATTTGTACTTCAGATTTACAGTCACCTACCAAAAGTCTTGCTATGGTAATTTTAGTTTCTTGAACTAAGAATCTGATAATATGAAACACATTTATACCTTTATTCATTTACTTATCTTGTGGTGTATTTGGGCATAACAATGTCAAATTAGATTATCCGTGGAAACAGACATTTGTTATAGTCGATCATAAACGTCACTTCAACATCGCCATATACATCAAGAAGGAAACTATATAGGAGATTGTCTAGCTAAAGAAGGTTGTAAGAAGCGAAGTTACAAGGTGGGACAAATAAACACTCAGTTGGATAAATTTGTGCATAATTATATTTCGTTAACTAAAACACATGCACGATTTCATTTTTTATTGACATGCAAATTATCAGACAGTATTTTGACTTACTGAAATGACGATATCTACATGAAAATAATAAAACGACGAGTTACTGACATTTAGGAAAATGTACAAATTAGAAGGAGATGAAATGAATCGAGATAAGCAAATGCAAATCTCTTTAAGATAGATTTCACCCCTTGCATTGATGCTAACAAGATCAAATAGACATCTGTTTTTCAAGATGATACTTTCAAAATTGATATAATACAATATTAATTTCTGTTGGGCGAACAATATTTTATCATACTCTTCTATGACAATTGACGAAAGATATAAAATATTACTTATCAAACATAGAACTCGAAAGATAACTTTCCAATGGTCGTATATTTTGGTACAAATTAATTTTAACCATTATCAAAATGATGTAGATTACACACTATCAAAATGTGGCAACTTTTTATCACGCACCTTTTTGAATATATAGAAGAAGTTTGCAAAAACAGTAAAGAAGACAGAGATAAATGACAAGAACTCATAAAAATAGGCTCTGTCCATTGGGTTAGTAAGAGTGTTATAAAAGTTTAGCTTTTTATCACGCACCTTTTTGAATATATAGAAGAAGTGCGCAAAAACAGTAAAGAAGACAGAGATAAATGATTTATTAATATTGCTAGTTATTGAGAGAGATTTTTGAGACATAACTCCGACACTTGATTTTAATAATTAATAGTATGCATGTGACAACCAAGAAATTGATTTGATAATAATGGCTAATTGATTTTAATAATTAATAATAGTATGCAGAATACATGCGTGTGTGTATTTATGCAAATTATCGTTAATTAATAAATTATATAACTGTAAACTGCATATAGGCCGACGATGTGAATGACTTGAATGTTCTTTATCATTTTCTAAATTAAATTCTTGACTAATTTTTGCTTTATAACTAAAGGATGTCATTTTGAGCAATAATTCGAGAAACAATGTTGTTTGGTATTACAACGTTGTTATGTTCGAAGTAGAGGGGTTCCATGTTTCCCTTCTTCTTCCTTCTTGTTTCGATTAAGTCGAGTGAAGTTCTTTCAAGATGAGTAATGTTCTTGAAGAACGTCAGAGAAAATCTAACCATGAATTTGGTAATTAAACAAAATAATTCTACAAACTTGATGATGATACTAATCGCCCATACAAATACAATGAAAGAAGTGAAAAGTCATCTTGTATGCTTGTGTGCCTCCATCAATGATCACATAGGAGAAATTATTTTCCAAATAAAACTAAAATTGGTGTCAAAAAAATGTCTGCAAAATGCCACACGTGATTGAACATCTGTTAACAATACATCACCTGATCACCCCCCAAAATCTGAGTTTTTTGGATGTTAATTTAGTAAAAACATGGAAAATTATCATTTTCTGCACAATGGAGTACTTCATTTATTTGAAGTGCATTCAGTCTACAAATGTTGCAAGTCAAGAAGGCGCCAGTTTCTTCAAAGTTCAAACGTTGAAATCTTGAAATAAGGCCCCTAACCATCATAAGATCCAGCATCTGCAGCCAGAAGAATCTTGCAGTCCTTCAAACCATCTGTCCCACGTCGGATTTGTAGGACCATTCGTTCTGGTACACAAAAATAACCAAGCTCTCTACATGTAAAGTGAATTCGACACCATGGGACAGTAATAAAAAAGAAAAGCAGCAGAAATCTTGTTTATTGTAATCTTCAGTCGTGTGCTGAGTACTGCATACTAAAGATGCTCTTTTAATACAAAGTTGATTGCATAAAGGACTTGTGAAGCATTTTAAAAGTAAGGGAAGGAGTCTTACAGTGGGAGAAGTGGATCAGGCTTGGTTTCAATGTTCATCAGCATTCTGTCAAGAACACAAATTCATTTAATGAAATGCTGACAGCAGATAATTAGTACATCACCTATGCATTTTCTCTTACTTACTCCTTACAAGCTGCTGATGCTATGTCGATTTTATCAAGCTGTTCCAGCTCTTCCTGTACACCATATATCATCACATGTAAATATAAGTTCTTAATTAATTACAGCCTGCATTTGGCTAACTAGCAATATTAAATACATTTAAGCAACAACAAAGAAACCCCAAGAAAAAGTGTCATGCCAGACGAGCCTTTACATTTAATCATCTCATGAAGACTGCCTGCGGGATCTTAAACTAGAAGAAACTATTTAGCATAGCATTTGCATATCAATTGCGAAAATACCTAACGATTAGGATTATTGGACTTATTTCATTAGGCAAAACTGAGATATGCTAAAATGCTGTGCTGAACAAGATTGACAATCCACAACCATGCAATAAACGTCATGTTTCTCACGAGAGTCTGAGACATTCACATTACCATTGAATGTTGATTTATGCTTATTAGGTTTATAACTGACTCTTTTTGCAAAATATACGTGTGCAAGTACCATCCTACAAGACAGAACCATATGCTTTTTTTTTTTTAATTATCCTAGTACAACAAATGTGGAAAAACTAAGTCGATTGAGTACTAAAAATCAATAATAATGATATAATGTCTTTACTAAAAATTGATATCATTCCAATCTAAATGCAATGTTTATAGATTGAGCCCTTCAAACTGAATTGCATCTTTGGGTGACTTGACTTAATAGGGTATTGTAGACAATAGTGCAACCCAATATTTCATCCATCACTGCTCATTCTCAGTATTTTTTTATTTTTCATTTTTTCCTAATACACGTCGTACAAGCATTCTATGAGCATAAGATCCAAGTGGATATCTGCTCATTCATACATCTTATCAAGAACAGCATAGGTCCTAGCATACAATCAGAAATTGTAACATGGTATTAATATATAAGCATGCGCTTTACTTAATGACAGACACAAAAGAAGTTGAATACAAAAATTATAATAGGCATTCTAAGAACATGAACTTCCACTAATGAATAGATCATCAAGAAATTTATGTAGATAATCATCAGCTTTACGCACAATCAATATGCGCACGTTCATTAGTTTGTACTAAACATACACAGAAATGCAAACCAGTTCTTCCATTGTGGTGGTGATGATTGTTGACATCTGAAAGCCACTGCAGAAAATCTATCTTGAACAGAGTGTTATTTCAAATGTATGATATCCTAGCAATAAAAGTCTTATAGATAAAAACATGCAGGGCAATTTTGATATAGATGGTGGTTTCTAGAACAATTGCTTCTAAATATCCAATTGTACAGATGGCTGCCCTATTATCGTGGGAAACTTGCGAGAGTCAAGCAAATAAGAAAATATACCAGAATATCAAGAAAACAGAGATATTTACGGACACGTAAGTTACAAATTTATATATGAATTGATAGGGTAGATAGGTATACAGCCAATGCTGCATTTTAAAGCCACCAGTAAGCAGATAAAACTGCAGTTAATATTTATGCAAGAGCTCGTTACAGTTTATATTGCTAATGCTTTAAAAATTGTTGTGTTGAACTGAAAAGGGTACATCCACAGTACTTCAAAGTTTCAGTTAATTACAGATTAAATAATAATCCTTTTGGACATTTAACTAAAAGGGAGCCATTCAACAGTGAACATTCTAGCATACACGATACTTAGAAAGGAAGGGAACTATCATTAACTTTCTAATTCTACTAGAAGAAGCAAATATATCTGCACAAAATATGTACAGGGAAGAAAGTGGTACGCTGACAGTCTGACTAATATTGTTGTCTGATTCAGAAAATGAAGGATGATTAGTTTGATCTGATCCATTGATCGCAATAAAATATATGAAAAATTGCAGTAGAGATCCATAACCTAATCGTTTTGTGCAAATGAGTTCCTAACCTTTAAATCCTGGCACTTACATCCTCAATCTAACACTTTTACAGCAGATTCAATCCCTATAGACGGATATCCAAACTGGCATCGAAATGGCAAGTGAGTCTCACAAATCCATTATCTGTAAGGATAAATGAGTAGATACTTAATTTGAGTGAAATTAAAAAGAACAGAATTAAAGAAAAATCGCCTCTGTAACTCCCTAACAACCCCCACCACGACCATAATCACCCATGCAATTTAGGAGGAATCAATTGAAAGGACATCAATTCAAATCTTGGATTTTCGAATTGAGAGAGATGTCGAGAGATGAAGAATTCTCACTATTTCTTAGATTCATCCACCCAGCTATAGAAATCCAGTGCCAAAAAATCAAATTTCTTAAGGTACTCGGCTCGTTCATTCACAAATAACATATACTTTGTGTGTGTGTTTCCAAGCAAACAACAATAACTTCTAATCCGCCATTTCAGGCCTTTGATTCAGGCTGCCAATTTCCAGAGTATTTACAGAGGAACAGAACGCACAGAAGTGATCCCTAACAACACATCCTCAACCTGAACCAATCAGCTATATTTGTGGATATTACGGCAAGACATTCGTTAATGCTTTGCATGTTGCTGGAAACTGTTACTTTGTAGACTTGTTATGGTCTGCATGATCATGTCATGACTCTTCTTTGAAGGGTATATGTACAGACTGATGTCTGACATTAACAGTGTTAGATAAGATCGCGTCTGATATGGTTATGGCTTAGAGTTGGGGCGAACTAACAAGTTGGGGTAGCCGCCGGGGGGTGGGGTGGGGGGTGGGGGCGCTAGTTCATTTGGTGATGGCTGGAGATTTCGGATGGCTGATTTGTGGGATGGTTAGCAAAGATGATGCATTTGTCCTCTTTTTTCCATTTTTTGTTTTGTTTTCTGTTGAATGTTTTTCATTTTTCTCTCTTTCATTTCATTTTACGGAAATTAAGTCTTTACCCATTTCATCTGTCTGAAGAGTCGACATGATAGTCACGTGCCATTTCATCGGTAATTGGACAAAATCCGTCCATACTCCATAGAGACAGGTTTACTACCAAAGTGAAAGGTTGATGAGTGCCAACAATTAAAGGTTAGGGATCCATTTGCATCAAATACATAGGTTAGAGACCTCTACTGCAATTTTTCCCTAACATATGCATAATCTTCCCTAAAAATATATTTAGAGGGAAAAGGAAGCAAAAATGATATCATATACTTTCTTTCTTCTTTTGACAATTTCAATGAAACATGACAAGACTACTGATATTGAAGGAAGCAATATGCTTCAAACCTCAATGAGAATTACTTCCCTAAACGAAATAACAAACCAATACTGCAAACATCTTATAACCAGCAGTTAGCTCTCAAAAACCTAATCTATATAGTCTGAACTTTTGTAGATAACTCAATCAAAATCACATCCAGAACTCACACTGAATCATGAAGCACGTTAATCAAATAGCACTTAAACTCACTAGTCTCTGAATGTTATAGTCCAAGCATATCTTGCTGCCACTTACTAGATGCAAATATCAATTTATTCAAAAGAAACTTCTATACATTCAGTGGGGAAAAAAAAGAAATTTTTCAAGACCATACTTTACTCTGTATATACATGCAACTTATTAGATGGAAATCTTATCCTCCATTAAGGTTCTACTCAAGTCCAATGAATAATCTTACCATCTGAACCTCCTAATATCAGCAAAAGTAAAGAATGTCCAAGTCTTAACTTATATAGAGATAAACCAATCCCCTTGATCAACATTTTCAATTGCAAGAGACTCCTCCTTACTGAACCCACATGTAAATTAAAATTGTGAGGGCAAAAAGTATTATAAGCTAAATTCGACAAGTGAACCAGTCCATGACATTGCCAAGCTTATTCCAAAAGCAAGGGTCAACCCCATGTCTCAATCAGATCACTCCATGAGATATCGAGTTTAGGAGGCTAAGCTCATGACACTCATGACAAATGTGTCAAACACGCAAGCAAGTGCAATAGGAATGACACCCACCCTAGGGAATGTAACAGCACGAAAGGCACGTGCAAAGCTAATCAAAAACTAAGAAAAGACCTAATGGGTACAATTCTGAGACATGAGTCCAACGATTATGAGACACAAGTCCCAAATAACTTTGACAACCAGTCATCCCAAACAATTAACAATTTTGGCCATACACACTATCAATAATACATCATTGTTCGTCACTGTTCTCATAACACAATTTGACGTGGACATCAATCTTCCATAGCAGCAAATTCCCCATTAACCTACAGCCCTCACTGAGGAGGCCGACCAAGTCCACACTTTTGCATCAACAATTTGCAATCAAACTCTCCAACTAACTCAAAAAAATTAAGAAACCCATTCTTTTAATTGCTTATTCAATTGTTACAGCATTATCACCTAAATAAAAAATGTGCCAAAACACCAAAAGACCCACCTCAAGATTTCACCAATAGCATTCAAAATTAAGAAACACTAAAATTAACTTCCGAGGTATTCAAATAACATAAAAATCAAATCTTGAAAACAAGGTCAAAAGTCAAAGAAAACGAAAGCAGTAATCAGACACAAACCTCCAAGAAACGAGTTTCTTGCTCAAGTCTCTTCAATTCAGCAGAAATCCTATGCTTCCCTCTAGTATCTGTAGCTCCAGCCACCGATCGCACCTCCTCTGAACTCTCTGCTTGCATTTTCGCCGCACAAAAAGAAGCCACCGAAAAATTTATGACAAAATTATAATAAAGACTGAACGCCCGTTTTGAAAAAAGAGCTCAAAATTTATGAACTTGTATTGTCTGGTTGTAATCGGAAGACGCGTTAATGGAAGAGAAGGAAAAAGGGACTTTTGATCCTATTGGAGGACGGAGAAAGGATGCAGAAAAGAAGGAGCCTTCGCCTTTTTCTGGGGTGAAATCCTTTTTATTTGTTTCTGTTTAGGAAATGAAAGGAAAGTTGGTGGTCTTTTTCTACCCAGCATCATTTTTTTGTCTTACTGTCTACTTTCAAATGCGTTCCAACTAGAAAAAATAAAGACGACATTGACTTTCTATTCGTAACGACTTTGTCGGATTTAGATTTTTGAGTGTGAATGCCACTCACTCGCCAAACAACAACGATATAGATACATAAAAAATTTCACATAAATCATTCATACGAGCACTCGGTAGATCGTCGTTGGAAGAGGACAAAATATATAAAAAAGAAAGCAGCCATACAAATGTTGCGTACAATTTCTATATATTTTTTCTGTACTTGCAGCATAATTCCTTGTCAAATTCTTAAGAATTATGCTCCTTGTACACTTTTTGTGTACATGAAGTTTGACAGTCATTTGTAAATTCAAAAATGGAATGACGGGAAAGTGTGTTGTATTTTCAAACTGACGAATCGTGCTTCAATATGTGACACAATGTCAAACTTGATATAAAAAACAATGTACCTGTACTATGATTGAATTCTTTATGGTGTTACAAACAACTTTCATCAATGATTCAATAATAAAATTCAATAATTCTCATTTATTTAAACTTTTTTTCTCATGACCGGAAACTCCTTTAAATAAACGAAGCTCTCACTTCCGAGCTAGGGGGCCCACCAGTGGCGGACCCAGCACCCGGCTAGGGGGGGCGGCCGCCCGTGCTGGGATCTGCCGGAGTAGTTTTTGGGAAGAAGTGGCGACTGGGCGAGGCGTTGTCATCTTCCTTCCGCCGGGACTGGTAGTCTGGTTCGTCTTCTTCCCCTCTTCTGGTTTCTTTTTTTTTTTGTTTTGTTTTGTTATTACATTGGGCCGTTCTGCCCAGCCCAACACTTCTTATATATGTGTCCAGCCTATGAGCCCAAGTCCAACCCTTTTCCCCCAAATCAAATTAAAAAGTGTGGTAAAATGAGAGATATTCATTCAC